CACACTGCCCCTCTAGACCCCTCTGTTTCTCTCAGCAGTCGTGGGAGGCCAGCCAGGCTCCTTGGCCCCTTGGCCCACTCCCTGCCCTTGCTATCCTGGGGTCTTTAATGGGTGTAGAATGGCAGTCAACGTGAGCCTTCTTTCACTGCCCAGGAAACCAACTATCAACAGTGTGAGGTCTCTCCAATCTCCCAGGGCCACACTCCAGACCCAGCCAGAGCCAGAGGATTGGCCCCCTCCTCAGGACCCAGAGAAGGCCTTCATTCCATAAATATTGATCCAATGCCTACTGGCATACTGGGTACTGCTCAAAGGATGTGCAGGACAAGCTCCTTTCTGCTCCTTGGAACCTTTGAGTTCACCCTGTGGCTGCACCGCAGAAGAAAGGTCTGGCGATTTGCTTCCACAAAGATTCTAGAAAACCCTGTGGAACACAGGTCTACTCTATAACACATGGGGTCAGGTTGGAATCACTATGGCAATTTTTTTGTGAGTTGGGGCAAGCTGTTGAGGGTGTGTGTTTTGATTGGGGGAATCCCTGTAACATTTGCTTGAATATTGAATTAGAAGATGGGAGAGTGTGATTGGGACAAGGATGTTTGTTGTGAAGTGCCACCGAGTGGGTTCCTACCCATAACGATCCTGTATAGGGTTTCCCAGGAGCAGCTGGTGAGCTGGAACCACTGACCTTGCAGTTCAAATGGCTTTGCAGACTGGTGCATAACCCACAGCGCCACAACAGGACTCCATGTTCCATGAATAGAAACACTCAACAAGTATTTGATTACCAATTTCGTCTGTAAAATGGCATGGCGTTGTTAAACCAATGTGTGTAAAGTACTTAGTACAATGTCAGCCATAGGGTAAGTGTTGAATAAAGCTTATTCAGTTACCACAATTATCATTTCTTTGTGGTAAGGCACAAAGAACATTCTGTAAAAACAAACACAGTGCCAGCTTCCGCATAGGTTGTCAAAATGAATGATTCCAAAGTCCTTTCAATATCAGAGAACACTATTTAAAAGAGGAATCGTAAGGGAAGGCTTGTTCAGGTATTAAATTTGAGATGGTGAGTAGATTGGAGATTTCAGTGGATAAAAAGCACTGTACTCATGATTGGAATTTATACATGTTTATGGCTGCTAACCAAAAGATTAGTGGTTCAAACCCAAACAGAGACTCCGTGGGAAAAGGTTTGGTAATTTGGGCTCATAAAGATTGTTGGTCTTGTTGTAGATTGCCCTCAAGTTGGTTCTGACTCATTTGTTGTTGTTGTTCAGTGCCATTGAGTCGATTCCGACCCATATCGACCCTGTACAGGGTTTCTAAGGAGCAGCTGGTGTGCTTGAATCACTGACTTTGCAGTTCAAACGACTTTGCAGTCTGACGCATTAGCCCCCAGCACCGCACCAGGTTCTGACTCATAGCAACCCTCTATAGGGTTTCTGAGACTTTAAATATTTGCAGCAGCAACAAACTTCATCTGTCTCCTGCGGAGTGGCTGGTGAGCTCGAAATACCAACCTTGTGGTGTGCAAGCAAACCCTATGGGACAGTTCGTTTATGTCGCATGAGTTGCTATGAGTCCGAATTTACTAGATAGCACCTAACAACAACATTCATGCCTAAGTAAGAGAGAATCAAATAAATTAATTAAACATTCATGTAGTTAGAAAAAGAAATGAAAATAACCCAAGGAAAACAAAGGAAGAGATTAAGTTAAAAACAAAACAACAAAAACAAAAACCAAGCAACGCATAAATAAATGGATTCAAATCCAAGCAGCAGAGCTAACGAAGGAAAGAAAAAGTCTCGACAAGCCTGAGTTATGAATCAGTGGAAAGCCTGAAGGTGTGGAGAATGTACTTCAAATCTCTGAAGCTGGGACACTAGAAGCTTCAACTGAGAAATAAGATTTAGAGAAACAGAACAGCAATAACAAAATTCTTGGGGAAGTTTTAGAAGAAAATGTACAAACAAAAATTGGCTGGGTACCCATGTCATGTGGGTATTGTCATCACATGAGCAAGCCCCACAAATGCCAACTAACTGCAACTTTGCTAAATTTTGTTGATTACAAATAAGCTAGTAGCTGCCAAGTTGTGGGGAATTTCCTGGCAAGAATGTCAAGCACAGTCATTTTGCCATCCTCAGCCATTTGTATGGGTGGATTCTCCACTGTTTAACTCACTCCATTGTGTCCAGAAGCACACAGATTTCAGTTTAATTTTTATCCAGCAAGGGGCGCACATCCTACATAGGACCAACTGTTTGTGCAGATTAATTTGAAGCAGATGAAAGATAATGGCAACCCCGTGTACAAGAGAAAGAAATGCTGCCCAAACCTATGTCCTCTTCAGGGCCATCCGTATTCGTGGGTCTTGTGGCCACTGTGTCTTTTGAGTTCCTTTAGGCTGTATATTCTGTTGTGATCCATAGGATGTTCATGAGCGAATGAACAGATGTAGATTGCCAGGACTGTCTTCCTACTCTCAGCCCCACTGAAACCTGTTCACCATGGCTAACCCTACCAGTGACATAGCTTTCAGCCTCACCACAACATAGGAAGGGTCGTGGGAAAGTTTTGGGGAGAAAACCCATCATCTTTTCATTCAAATTTTCCACAAACTTTCTGAAGTCCCCTTGCACAAGCCACCACAGAACAACACCCTGACTGTGGTTCCAGAGATGAAGCACTCGCTTAATGTTTAATTTAAACTAAGAATTGCTACTGGTCCCTCCTGACCATATGTCCGAAGTATGAGAGACAAAGTTTGGCCATCTTGGCCTCCAAGGAGCACTCCGGCTGCACTTCTTCCAAAACGGATCTATATTGGTTCTTTTGGCAGTCCATGGTACTTTCAGTATTCTCCTCCAACACCATAACTCAAAAGCATCAATTTTTCTACGGTCTCCCTTATTCCCTGTCCAACTTTCACATACATATGAAGTTACTGAAAATACCATGGTTTGGGGTCAGGAGCACCTTAGTCCTCAAATTGACATCTTTGCTCTTACACTCAGATTGCCTAATGCACTACATCATTTGATTTCTTGACTGCTGTTTGCATAGTCCTTTGTTTTGTCATGCTCTGTGAATCCTACTTTCTATGCCTGTGGTTAGAGTCCCATTTTGGAGTGAGTCATCCATTATGTTAATAAGGCAGGATTAGGATGTTTGCATCTTGACTCATCCTCCTAACTAGAGGGTGTGACTGAAGTCATCACCTTGATCCAAGTCACTACCCTACACACCCGTATTTGGCCTTGCTTAAATCTGGTGAGTTCCCTTAAGGATAGGATCTGTATCTAATACATTCCGGTGCTCTGGGTCCTGCCTCTGACCCCTGCTTCTTGGAACTTGAGCCAGCGGCATATCATCTGACCTGATTCCCTGATTTCCAGAGCTTTGTGAGCCAGCAGCCTGTCTTTTGACCTTTGGACTTGGGTTGTCAAGCCCTGCCACCAGAGAGGCCACCAAGAGAGGCCTCCACACAGACTCCTGGCCCACACATTTGGGACTTGCCAGCTTCCATAGCTACGGATTCATGCCATTGAATGGGAGTTCTGGGAGACATTGCAGCAAATCACTGAACCAAAGTTGAGAGGGAGAATACTGAGAAGGAGGGGAAAGTGATGTAAGCGATGATGTTTGGAAAAGTTTGACGATTTGAACATCTTTAATTTCCATCTCATAGGAACCAGCTCTGATCCTTTGGATAGGAAGGATCCATGCATCAGCTAGGTGGGTTAACAAGGCCAACCTTTTGGTTGCAGCTGAGTGCTTAACCATTGTGCCGCCGAAGCTCCTTGTCACAGGATTGGCTGCTGCTGTTCTTAGGTGCCCTCGAATCGGTTCCGACTCTTGGAGACCCTTCACACAACAGAACAAAACCCTGCCCGCTCCCGCGCCATCCTCACAATTGTTACGTTTGAGCAAGGGGCTGCTGCCAGTATGTCACTCTGTCTCGTTGGGGGTCTTCCCCTTTTTCACTACCCTCCTCCACTTTACCAAGCATGATGTCCTTCTCCAGGAATGCCTCCCTCCTGATAATGTGTCCAGAGTAGGAGAGATGAAGTCTTGCCATCTTGGGTTCTAAGAAACATTCTGACTACATTCCTTCCAAGACAGTTTTATTTGTTCTTCTGACAGTCCCCGGTTCTTTGAATATTATTCTCCAATATAGCGTAGTGGTTAGGAAGCGGGCTGCTAATCTCAAGGTTGGCAGTTCGAAACTACCAGCCATTCTGCAGCAGAAAGATGATGAGGCTGTCTGCTCCCGTAAA